TGGCCGCAGCGCGCGTCACCCGGCCCAGGCTGGCCCTCGCCCAGGCGGCGTGGGGCGTCCACTGTCAGCCCAAGCCAGAGAGGCCCCGCCCGGCCACGCCACCACGGGCTCCCGGCGGCCACCACAGTCAGTTCCGACTCGTCAGCAGCCGGCCGTCACTGCGGGCACTGCGTGGGCGTGGGGGTCGGCGGGAGGGCGATGTCATTGAGCTTGCTCACTTCCATCTGCCAGTTGGGGAGCTTCTTGGCTGACAGATGGCGGCGGGCGTGCTTGGTCAAGTGGTCGCTCCGCATGAACCGCCGGTCACACATGGGGCAGGCGAACTTCTTCTCCCCGGTGTGGGTTCGCCGGTGCCTGGAGAGCTCATCGGAGCGGGCGAACCTCCGCTCGCAGCCCTTCCAGCTGCAGCTGAAAGGCTTCTCCCCTGGAAGAGAGAGGGCCAGACACAGTTACACACGGCCGCGCACTCCCCGACGGGAAAGGCTGTTGGACACCTACTGCTCCGCTTTCAACATCACATTTCCCCGTATAAAGAAGCCCAAGGTGACAAGGCCTTCCGAGCTGCACTACGGCGGAGAGGCCACAGGCTGATGGTGCTGATGGAGGACCCAGCCACTGGCCAGCACAGAAGCCCGCTGCAACATGCCTGGCTCACCGTGTGACCACAGACACAACTCTCCCCTCCCGACACCCGCGGTACAGACACACATGACAGCAGCCGGTACCTGTGTGTGTTCTCATGTGGGCCTTCAGATGAGAGCTTTTGAAGTAGGTCTTGCCACACCCTGGGTGGCTACAGATGTGACTTCTTATCCGGGATGAGTCGATCTGAGGAGTGACTTTGGCTGCTGCAGGGGAAAACCCGGGGGCGGGGGCGATGGGAGACAGTCTGGTACCGTTGGGGCTCACCACAGGTGGCTTTGGGCTGGGCACCACAGGCTGCGGCACGACAAACATGACAGCCCCTTTGGGCACCTGTGCGCCCATGAACACGACAGGGGGGCAGACGGCGGGTGGCTGGCTGGGCGGAGTGCTGGGAACGACAGTTGTCACGACAGGGTTGTTTGCGGGGAGGGGAACCATCTGGCAGATGACCGGCATGGAGGGCACGGTCCCTGCAGACACGGCGGGCGGAGAGACCAACACCGACTTCTGTTGTGGGGACGCGGGGGCTGGCTGAGACCGGCAGATGACCGTCTCCGAGGAAGGCACAGAAAAGTCAAAAAGAGCAGCCCCTGCTTTCTCATCAGCGTCGGCCGCGGCGCTCTGCTCACACTTGGATCTGTTTGGCGACACAGCTGCACACGGTATGTTTTTCCTTGCAGCCTCAACGCTTGGGTGGGCTCGTCTCCGAAAAGCACTGTCCTGATAGGCAGCGGCGCCGGCTGCTTTCACGGGGCAGGACCGGTGGTTGCAGAGCTGGGCGTCCGCTGTATGGCGGATCACGCTGGTTGCCTGAGCCTTGGGGAGCTTGGGGAGCACCACCGGGCTCTTCTCTTCTTCCTTGAAAGGGGCAGCGGCAGGGTAAGGCTTGGCGGCGTCTGAGAGGGATTTGAAGTGCCCAGTAGATGGCGCTGGTGCCAACAGATTGGACGCTTGCGAGGGTTCAAAGTCCGAGGGGCTGTAAGGGGGGGTCAGACACTGGAAGAGACACAGAAGCGCGAGAAATTCAGAGTTCATTACTGACCGCACTGGAAACCCCGCGATCTACAGCACTCTTAAAAAACCCGCGGCACTTACAAAGGCAGGGATGGTGTGAAAATCGGGAGTCCCCGGGAGCAGGTTCTCTTCCTCCGACAGGTCGGACACTGGTGTGACCGGTCTGTTCTCCAGGTACTTCTTAAAATCCGACTTCCAGCTGCAGCTCATGGACATGAGCGCCTCCACGGCTTCGAAATCACTCTTCTCCGCTGTTTTGTTCCAGCAATACACACTCTCTTTCGACCTTTCAGAGTTCATCTCCATTCTCTCCTGTGAAAACGACACCGGGGCTCAGCCTGACTGATGAAGGGCAGTGGTTGAAAGCCCCGCCTCCCCACCTGCAACAGGGCTCAGGCAAGAGAGCTAAGGGAGGATCCGCAAGGAAGCCTGGGCTTTTCTCAGCACCCCAGCCGCGCCGTGAGGTCCCGATAAAAAAAAAAAAAAAAATTAAAAAAAAAAAAAGGCCAGCCCTTCCTTAGAAAGGCAAAGCGGGGTGGACAGCACTCTGACCTGTTGATAACGGGTCTGATCTTTGGAAAGTCACTTTAGACTTTGAGATACCAAAGGATACGTGATCCTCAGGGTCACGCTCAAGTTATGGGAGGCGATGGGAAACCTCACATTGTCAGGCTGCAAAGCTTTCAGTGCGGTCTCAACTTCTCCCTATCTGCATTGCCTTTCTATCTCACAGTGGTCTGGCTCTAACTATGACCAACACAGGCAATATTAAAAAATCAGATAATCAGGAACCTGAACATTCTAGGGATGTGCAAAAGCCTGGCCCGTGGAGTGTGAGGAGCAAGAGAATCTAGTTTCGTGTAGCACGGCTTACAGCACACGCTTTGCGCTGACCTACACAACCCTCTCCCTGCACTACCTCACGCGACGGGAGAGATCCCCGCCACCGCCTCTCCCATGTTTCACTTAAAAATCCAACTCCAGACTCCCAGTCAAAGCCGAGACTGTGCAAAAATACCGAAAAAGCGATTTACTGTCGCAAGGCGTGATTCTCATGGCTTGTTTTCGGACACGCACGATCCTTTCGTAACGAACTCGTCAGCGCCGCTAACAATGCCATTGCATAACAGCGCGCGCCTTTATGTAAGCCGCCGCGGCCAGCGGCGTCCGTGTGTAAACGCCGCCTCAGAGCGCCACCGCGAAGAAAGGAGGCCGGCAGGAGGGGAGCCGGGCGCTGAGGAAAGGGAGCGGGCCGCGAGGCAGGAGAGGGAGCGGGGGCGGCGGCGGCCGGGGAGATCCTCGCGGGCGGGCGGGCGGGGACGCACGGAGGGGCCGCCCGCGCCTCAATGAGGCTCACGGGTGAGTCACTGGGAACATTCCCCGCCGCGCGCACGTCTCAGCGCCCCGGCCCCCGCCATTGGCCAGCCGGCCGGCGGCCCGCGCCCCGATTGGCTGGGAGGCCCATGACAGTGGGGGCGTTGAGGGAGGCGAAAGCTGCTAGTCATGTATCAAGTCGTGAGTATGACGGTGCGTGTTAGTGAGCGCAAATTAAAAGCGAATTTCCCGCACATCCCTTTTCCGGTGATTCCTGAGCCCCGCGGGGCCCCCGCCCTCGCGCCGGCCTGGGGGAGGGGCCGCGGGCGCCGCCGCCAACCGCCCCGCAGTGCGCGCCCGGCCCGCGGGGAGGGGCGGGGCGGGGCCGCGCGCCCCGGCTCCGGAGGCGCCCGCCCCTTCCAGCTCCCCGCGAGCCGCCGTTCCCTTAGGAACCGACTGCAGGGCTGGGCCTCGCTCCCGCCCCTGGCGGGGGCCGGGGCTGGGTCACTCGGGGACGAGAAGCTCCCCGGGCGCACCCGCCCCCGGCCCACCCCCGGCCTCCGCCTCAGCTGCCGGGAGGAGGAGCCGGGTGCCCGCGCGGAAACCCGGCCGCCGCCCTCCTCCCGCCCGCAGCCCCCGGGGGGCCCCGGCCGAGCCCTCGGCGCTTCCCGCCCACGCGGCCCGCGGGACCTCAGACCACCCCGTCTCTCCCCGCAGCCGCGGCGCCCCCTCCGCACGGCTTCCGGCAGCGCCGGCCCCCGCGCGCCGCCGTCTCCAAGGGTTCCCAGACGTGTGCAGCCCCCACAGGCATCGGCTCCAGACGCGCGGCCCCCACGGCCTGTGCGCCTCCCGGCTCGACACGCGCGGCCCCCGCGTCTCGCGGTCCCAGCCGCGGAGTCCTGCTTCCCACCCTCCCGCCCCCTCCGAGGGGTCGTCAGCAGGCGGCCACCTGCCGCCGCCGGGGATGGAGAGGGGGGTCTCCTCCCGGCGTCTGCTGCGGCCGGCTGGCCACACTCGGTGGTCGCTGAGCCCGCGCGTGCCATCCCCGGCGCCCCCTCCCCCCGCCCCGGGCTGTCTGCGGAGCAGCCTGTTCCCCGAGGTCCTGGGCTGGCAGCCCGTGTCCTGCAAGCCTCAGCCCAGACCCCCACCCCACAAAGTGGGCAGCCCCTTGCTGTGGACACGCACCCCCTCCCCCGAAAGCTTGCCCGCTTCCACCCTGGGTCTCGTTCCTGATCCCGACTGGGGCGGCCCTGCCCGGTGCCAGGTGCAGGGTGGTCCCCTCCCCTAACCTCGCAGCAGAGCGGCAGCCCTCTGCCCTCGCCCCCCCACTCCTCCCCGTCATCTGCCGCCGTAGGTGTCCCTGCGGGGCAGCCCCTTCCCCTCCTCTCCACACCTAGAGTAAGCGCGCTCTCCCCTGGGTCCACCTCGTGACCCTCCCGCGACACATGCCCGCACCAGTGCCCACTGCCTGCAGGCAGGACGCCCCTCCCTCGCCCCCCGACTCCGCGGCAGCCCCGGCTCTCAGGCGTGGCGGCTGTCAGGGTCTCGGGGTTCGCGCCCTCGCCGGTCCCCAGACACGGCGCAGCGGGGAAGCACCGGGGGCATCCTCAGGTGACTCACCGGGGCCTGCTGGAGGGAAGCGCCGAAGTTGAGCATGTCTGGCTGCCTGGCCGCCCGCGGCGAGCTGACTGCCTGCGAGGCTGCTGGCTCGCCGGGCCTCAGACGGACGCGCAGAGCCACTCGACGCCGCTCCCGCCGCTGCCCGCGCCGCGCGCCGTCTGCCCCCCTCCCCATTCAGGTAGCCGCTCCGCCTGCCCCGCGCCGCGGGCGGGGGCGGGGGCGGAGCCTGCCGCCGGCCAATCAGCGGCAAAGGTGTGTGAGGCGCCGACCAATGGCCTTGCGGGGCCACGCGTGATCAGCGGCTGCCCGGCGGCGTGAAGCTGTGTCAGTGGAGCGTGTACACAATCCCCGGCAGCGTGTTCCCTCGGCCCTACCCCGGGGAACTCCCGCGGCCACCTGACTCGGTGATGCCCTCGCCCTCGCCCACCCCTCGCCGCCCCGGCCCCCGCCCCGGCCGAGGGGGCGGCGCCGCGGGCGGGCGCCGGACGGGGAGGCGCGGCGCGGCGGCGGCGGGCCGGCCCCACGTGGGGGTGGGGAGGGCCGCCCGCTCCGCCCCGTCCCCGCCACGCCGGGCCCCAGCTCAGCCCGCCACGGAGTGGGCGGGACGCCGGGCGAGCGGGCGGGGGAGGCGGCGGCTGCAAGCCAAGGGGCTGGAGCCAAGAGATTTGCCTTGGAAGCGCCATCCTCGCGCGCGTCTGGCGAGAACGCCGAGCCCAGTGACCGACTGAGCTGCAGTTCTGGGTCGTTTGCTGGGTTTTGCCTCACCGGGTCGTGGGCGGGTGGCGCGCCAGGGAGGAGGGCGGAGGAGCCCGGGCACGCAGCGGCCACCTGCTCCCGCGCCCCCCGCCCACGCCGAGCCGCCGGCGTGGGCGCGCCCTCCCCCGCCGCGCTGCAGGCATCCGTGCTCGGCCTGCCCCGCCCATGCTTCCCCCGGGGCCTCCGAGGGGTGGCGCGGGGACTGCGGGAAGCCCCGGGAACTGGACCAATGGCGTGCCGGGGAGCGTATACCGGACTTTTCACCCGTCTCTGGCGCCGACGCTCGGCGGCAGGATCGCGTTGGAGCTCGGTGTAGTCGAAGTTTAAGTCGCAGCCTGCAGCTGTTTCAAAGGGAGACGCCCGCCCACTCTCCCCTCGCCAAAGGCCAGCCTGGAAGCCGCCGTGGACACCGGCTGGGAAGGGGTCTCCTAAGGTGTCCAGGCTCCCGCAGGAACACGCCTGCCAGGTGTTGGCCGCGACAAAGGCTCGCGGTACCAGAATCGCCGCCACCACCCCCCAGCCACTGTGCCCTGACCCTGTCGGAGGCGGGCCGGCGTTCAGAACAGGAAACCGGTGTGTGTGCCGCCTCGGGGCCGGGGGCTCTGCTGCGGTGCCCTTGGCTCCCCGTTTGTGCCTGTTCACAGCAGCTTTTGTTGCAGAGGGGGCCAGTGACAGGCTGAACACGAGGCAGGAGCCCCTGACGGACCCCTTTCTCCCCGGTGAAACCAAGAAACTGCTAAGGCTCGGGCTAGCCGGCGACAACAGTACCGAGGATGCCATTGGCCAGGCCAGGGGGGCCCCCGGGTGGAAGGGGCTGAATGGCCTCCTGTCACTGCCCCTGCTGGCTGCTGGAGGCGTGCCAGCTCTGCCGCCCAGGCAGCTCCCCAGGCCCCTGCCGCCGTCTGCTCGGGTGTCCCTCCCTGCAGACTTCCTTCCGCCCGGGCTGTCCCATCCTGTTGATCTGAGCCCAGGAGCTGGAGCAGCTGGGGGGTGGGGGGCACCTGCTGCAGGCAGGAAGCTTGCCTGTGTGTGCCCAGCCCTGGGCCTGCCTGCCTTCCTTCCTGTCAGGGAGCCGCCCCCTGGGCTGGCCACAGCCAGACGCTTCAAGCCTAAGTGTGGGGCTGCTGGCGTAGGGTCGCCGTGTGCTGAGAAGCCGCGGGAGAGCTGCAGGACAGGAGAGAGGCAGTGCCTGGGGCAGTGGTGGCGGCAGGATCGCTGGAGATTCAGAGCCAGGTGTCCCACAGGGACCTCAGAGTCACAGAACCCAAACTCGAGTGGCTGCTGCTGCTCTTTCCTGTGGGCCCCTCACCTCCCATGTGGCCTTTGCCTTCCCCCTCAAGGCCCCAGTTCCCGTTGGCACCCACGTCCCCTATATCCACCCTTCAAATGCTGCTGCAGGTCAGTCTGCCATCAACTCTTGCTGAGATTGAACAATCTGTGACCCCCCCCCCCAACTTCCACCCACACTCCAGCTGGCTTCCCAGTGCCCGACGTCTACACCGAGAGCAGAATCCCTTTATTGAAGTCATGATCCAATCACAGCAGTCCCCGTGTAAACACGATCCTGGCTCCTGTCGCCAGGCCAGGAGATAAAAGGCCGTGCTGTTCTGAGCTGCGTGTTCTGCTCCCAGCTGCTCCTTTGGACAGGCTGGACACGAGCTCCCCAACAACTCCCTCCAGCTCACCTTTCCACCGGGACTATCTCTGGCCCACAGCCACAGCTTCTGAATATCCACAACTTCATGCCATGTCCTCATCCAGGAAGTAGTTTCCATTACCTCCATTCGTGCACCCATTCCATTCCAAAGGATGTTTGTGGAGCACCTACTATGTGTTCTAGGCGCCGGGACAAGAACGGTGAACAAGACAGGCCAGGTCCCCACTCGTAGAAAGCTTAGATGGGGAGACAGACACGGAGACCACACACGTGCACTACCTGTGAAGGTAAGGTTAGTCTTTGCAATGCATGGGTGATGTTACTGTGCCTAGGGGACTGGTTTGGTTTGAGAGAGAGAAGTCTGCCCTCGGGAGGAGACTCGAAGCTGAAAACCTTCTGAGAGGATAAGCAGATCCAGGGCGAGTCCACGAAAGTGCAGTGAGCAGCTAAAGCCGGGTCCTGCAGCAGGAAGGGCGGTGCTGGAGGTGTGAGGGTGCCGGGCATGGGAGGGGATGAGCTGCAGAGTGAGGCAAGAGGAGCCAGACGACTGCGGGGTTATGGGTCATGGGGTGAAACGTGGATTTTCTATGTGCAAGGGGAGGCCATTTTTTTCTCGGAAGAAACACGTTTTTCTCCTTAATGACCCCTTTGCCTTCTTGGCTTTCGAGGTTTTTGCTCCCTTGCCCCTTGGTTGAAGCCTTCTTTGATAACTCCAACATGAGTTCATTCTTCTCTGCTTACACACGTTGTTCCATGGCCACACCTTATGCTGGGTGTGGAGCACTTAGTCACATCTTATTGCAAGATGTATTTTACTAATTACTGTCCACACTCCACCCAGATCTGGGCTCCTTCAATATGGTGGCCATATCATGATTTGTGGATCCAACATCTAATCTGTATTAGGCACTCGGACTTTTTTTTTTAAGTTTTAAAAATATTTTATTTGAGGCTGGCGCCACGGTTCAATAGGCTAATCCTCCGCCTGCGGCGCTGGCACACCGGGTTCTAGTCTTGGTCAGGGCGCCGGATTCTGTCCCGGTTGCTCCTCTTCCAGTCTAGCTCTCTGCTGTAGCTTGGAAGTGCAGTGGAGGATGGCCCAAGTCTTGGGCCCTGCACCTGCATGGGAGACCAGGAGAGGCACCTGGCTCCTGGTTTCGGATCAGCGCGGTGCACCGGCCGCAGCTGCCATTGGGGGGTGAACCAACTGAAAAAGGAGGACCTTTCTCTCTGTCTCTCTCTCTCACTGCCCACTCTGCCTGTCAAAAAAAAAAAATTTATTTGAAAGGTGGAGTTACAGAAAGACAGAGGGAGAGGAGAGACAGAGTTTTTCCATCCCCTGGTTCTCTCTCCAAATGGCCATAATGGCTGGGGCTGTGCCAGGCCAAAGCCAGGAGCCAGGAGCTTCTTCTGGGTCTCCCACATGGTGCAGGGCCCCAAGGACTTGGGCCATCCTCCGATGCTTTCCCAGGTACATATTAGCGGGGAGCTGGATAGGAAGTGGAACAGCTGGGACTTGAACCGGCACCCATGTGGGATCCTGGCACTGTGGGCCATGGTTTTAACACACTGCACCATAGCACCAGCCCCCCCTCAGATATTTTCCTATGGGGAAATAAAACCAGGTTGTCTTTAAAGATCCACTGGGGTTATAGACAGAATGTGGGCAAATGCCTAGGTAGAAGTGTAAATCCTTCTATACCTTTCCTGTAGCTCATTTTATTGCAGGTCCAGATGTGGAAAATTATCATCTTGGGCATGGATTTAAGTTCAAGCAGCACTTAGGCCAGATGCTGACTCTGCTGATGGGGCCGGTTTCTCCCTCGATCAGAATAGCAAAGGGGCGGGGTGGGGGCAGCACTGTGGCACAGTGGATTAAAGCCCTGACCTGAAGTTCTAGCATCCCATATGGGCACTGGTTCTAGTCCCTGCTGCTCCTCTTCCAATCCAGCTGTCTGCTATGGCTGGGGATAGCAGTAGAAGATGGCCCAAGTCCTTGGGCCCCTGCACCCACATGGGAGACCTGGATGAAGCTCCTGGCCCCTGGCTTCGGATCGGCGCAGCTCCAGCCGTTGCGGCCATCTGGGGAGGGAACCGGTGGATGGAAGACCTCTCTCTCTCTCTGTCTCTACCTCTCTCTGTAACTCTGTCAAATAAATGAAATCTTAAAAAAAAAAAATAGCAAAGGGAAGGGGGCCTCATGTGTAAAGAATGTTCTGTTACAGATGTTGGAACACACTGTACCCTAGCATCTGTTACAGATAACAGGATTTGACTCCCTTAACTCGTGCAGACATTTGAACCCCGAAGTCTTAAGTTAAGGGTTAATAGATTAATGATAATGATTGATGGACCAGAGTGGAGGCTTGATTTGATTCTGGCTGTCAGGACGTGATCGGATTGGATTAAGCTGATAAGCTGGAGACCACACAGAGGATGGAAGAGCTCGCTCCCTGGCTCTGTGTGTTGGCTCACCCTGTGATCGCTCCTCGTATACACTTCTCCATTACCAGCCTTTATCAGGGACCAGACAACGGTGCCGCCCACTCTTGTGCTGTGCACCTCCAAACCGGAAGCCAGAACAAACCTTTCCTTCCCCAAAAGCTCCTCTCAGGTATTTCAAATTAATGAGCGCTGGCTAATACGTCATCTTCCCTGCCCCCTTTCCGACAATGGGTCTCCTCTCATTCATTCACTTGTTCTCTTCCCCACCCTGTGCCAGGCATTAGCTGTACACTTGAGGAGCATTCATAAAAGCAATATAGTTCCTGGGCTGAAGGAGCTTCCAGGATGGTGGGAGACGTGAATACGTGAGTTAGCCATCGCCATAGCCCAGTAAATGCTGAGATGAGGGCATGGACGGGCAGGCCTGGGCAGGAGTCAGGGGAGACTTCCCCGCCCCGTGGATCTCTAAGCTGGGACGTAGAAGGGTGCAGGTGCAAAGCGTTGAGACCCAGGGCTGCAGACTTGACAGGATGAGGAGCTTAGGCTGTTAAGGAAAGCTGCCCAGAAGGTAAACGTTTATCCTAAGGGCCCATGGAGACCGCCTGAAGGGATTTGGTGGCCTAGGAAGCTCCTTCTAGCCCTGTGTGGACAACGGGTCAGAAGGGAGGGGTCTAACACCAACAAGACGCTTTCGTAGTAATATAGGCAGCTAAGCTGAGGGCTGGCCTGAATTCGAGATGTGGAAAAGAGCTGCCAAGAGCAGGCAGGTTCTGGCCGTTGGTCGGTGTGGGTGTGAGGCAGAGGCGGGGGACGGAGGAGGACTGTCAGAGCCTGGCTCCATTCACTGGGGGAAGCAGGACTACAGAGAGGCAGTAGGCTTTGGTGCAGAGGAAGAAAATGCAAAATTTGGTTTCGGACATGCAAAGCTGAGGTGACCATGGGGGTGTCTAGGAGGTGGTTGCCTTTGCAGTTCTGGATCTTAGGAGGGGGACGTGTGGGCTGGAGATGAAGATGTGGGAGTCTTCAGAGTATAGGGGGCAGTTGAAGCCAGGGCAATGGACAAAATCCCCTAGGGGAAGTAAGGAACCAGAAAAAGAGAATTGAGGGTGGCCTCTGGGGGAAGCACAGGGGACCTGGGGAAGCACAGGGGACCGGGGGATGTACGGCAGCAGGCAGGTGGCGAGGGATGTCCCAGCAAGGACTTCCTTCCTGGATGTCGTCCTCAGGACTCTATGGCCTAGTGGTTCCTCAGGACTCTATGGCCTAGTGGTTCCTAGAGTGGCCTGGAGGAACAAACAAGGGCTGATTCTGAAAGTGAAAGTGACAGATGGAGTAGGAAGAAAAAATCCCCTCTAAAAACTGGTGAATATTATTCACTATTTTCATTATACGATTTGCTATATTTTTAAGCTCATTAAAAGATTCTTTCCTATCTTGAATTTTTTTTTTTGACAGGCAGAGTGGACAGTGAGAGAGAGAGAGAGACAGAGAGAAAGGTCTTCCTTTGCCGTTGGTTCACCCTCTAATGGCCGCCGTGGCCAGTGCGCTGTGGCCAGCGCACCGCGCTGATCCGATGGCAGGAGCCAGGAGCCAGGTGCTTCTCCTGGTCTCCCATGGGGTGCAGGGCCCAAGCACCTGGGCCATCCTCCACTGCACTCCCTGGCCACAGCAGAGAGCTGGCCTGGAAGAGGGGCAACCGGGACAGAATCCGGCGCCGCAACCGGGACAGAATCCGGTGCCCCGACCGGGACTAGAACCCGGTGTGCCGGCGCCGCTAGGCGGAGGATTAGCCTAGTGAGCCGCGGCGCCAGCCCTCCTATCTTGAATTCTTTATGTTGCATAAGTTGTTTCTAAAGATGGCTGCAGCACCCACCCTACCCCGCCCACCCCATGTCATAGAGTCCTCTCCCCCTTTGCCATTCCAGTGTGGAAAAGGTGAGGAGTTTGGGACGGCAGACAGGTGAGCAGAGCCTCCTGGGACCCTCCAGCCGTGACCCAGGGCCAGCTGACACCACTTGGAGCATAGGTGAGCCCGCCCTGCTGAACTCTGACCCCCGGGACCATGAACAAGAAATAGAAGAGCAGCCCCAGGAGCGCTTCCTTCCTCCCCTGCGCCCCACTGCCTGCCGTGGAGGAGTGTGGGTTTGGCAGTGGTTTGCTACTCTGCAGGAGGGAGTTGAAATGTTGGGTGTGTGCTTTAACCCTGAAGGAACAGCCACCATTTTCAAAATACTCATCTTTTGAGTACTTAAAAAAAAATCAAAATACTTGCAGAAAGCCCCATGAAGGAAGATTAGAAAAACTACTCAAGTGGAAAAGGAAGGAAAATTGAAGGGAGAGAAAAATTTTTTGACTTAGAGAAATGGGAAGTGTGGAGATCTGGAAGAAAAGTGTCCCACCCCACCACTACGCGCTGTCCTGAGCACTCCGTGATGGGAAGGAAGAGAGTTTGCCTTGAAGGAGCACCTGCCATGCTCCAGTGGTTTCTTTCTTTCTTTCTTTCTTTCTTTCTTTCTTTCTTTCTTTCTTTCTTTCTTTCTTTCTTTCTTTCTTTTTTTCTTTCTTTTCTTTCTTTTCTTTCTTTTCTTTCTTTTCTTTTTTTTTTTTTTTTTGTCAGGCAGAGTGGACAGTGAGAGAGAGAGACAGAGAGAAAGGTCTTCCTTTGCCGTTGGTTCACCCTCCAATGGCTGCCACGGCCGGCACACCACGCTGATCCGAAGCCAGGAGCCAGGTGCTTCTCCTGGTCTCCCATGGGGTGCAGGGCCCAAGCACTTGGGCCATCCTCCACTGCACTCCCTGGCCACAGCAGAGAGCTGGCTTGGAAGGGGGGCAACCGGGATAGAATCCGGCGCCCCGACCGGGACTTGTGCTGGTGCCGCAAGGCGGAGAATTAGCCTAGTGAGCCGCGGTGCCAGCCATCTTCCAGCTTCTGTGTGAGTTGTCATGAAGGTTGTAACAGAAAGCTGACAGAAGGAAGAGGAACCAGTGAAGCTGCGGCTGGTGGTCTCTCTCCAGCAGGAGCCATTTTTTTTTTAAATTTTAATTTCATTTTACTTGTTCATGTATCAGCAAGTCAGAATTACAGAGAGGCAGAGGTATAGAGAGAGAGGAAAACAGAGAGAGAGAGAGAGATTCCATCTGCTGGTTCACTCCCCAAATGGCCACAGTGGCCAGAGCTGGGCAGATCCGAAGCCAGGACCCAGGAGCTTTTTCCGGGTCTTCCACGTGGGTGCAGGGGCCCAAGGACTTGGACCATCTTCCACTGCTTTCCAGGCCATAGCAGAGAGCTGGATCAGAAGAGGGGCAGCCAGGACTAGAATCGGCACCCATATGGGATGCCTCTGCCTGCACTGCTATACCACAGCGCTGGCCCCAACAGGAGGCATTTTAAACTGAAATCTGCAAGTTGAGAAGATCTTCCAGAAGGGCAAAGGTCACACAATTCTCCCGTGGGGTTCTGCTGCCCCAGCTCCAGCCAAGCCTGGCTGTGTAATGGAGTGCAATCTCAAGAGACTCATCGTAGGGCAGATATTAAGATACCACCTGGGACGCCTGCATCTCTTTTCGGGGTGTCTGCGTTCATGTCCTGGCACTGCATCTCATTCCAGCTTCCTGCTAGTGCACACCCTTGGGGGGCAGCAGATGATGGCTCAAAGACTTGGGTCCCTGCCACTCATGTGAGAGCCCCAGATGGAGTTTTAATCTCCTGACTTTGGCTTGCCCCTGCCCTGGCTGTTGCAGGCATTTGGGGAATGAAGCAGGAGTGATTTTTTATCTCTGTGTCTGTCTCTCTGCCTTTCCAATGAAGTGAAAAATAAATTTTAAAAAATCCTTTGTTTCACTCCTGAAGACAAACATGTAGCCCTTTCGGTTTAAAGTGCTTGGTTGTCATCAACAACAGATATTAAACAAACCTAGGAGGTGACCCAAAACAACCCTTAATGACAAACAGCAAGGAGGCTGTGATGACGGTTCTAGCATCTGGAATGGTGCTGTCACCGTTGAATGAAGCTTGTTAACTCCTTCTCAGAAAAAAAAAATGTTTTTTAAGTTCATAAAATGAAATTCATAAGAAAATTCAAAGGAAAACATTACACTTATTACTTAGCAAGACAGTTACTAAGTTATCAACAATAAGATAGTGATGGCCGGCACCGCAGCTCACTAGGCTAATCCTCCGCCTTGCGGCTCTGGCACACCGGGTTCTAGTCCCGGTCGGGGTGCCGGATTCTGTCACAGTTGCCCCCCTTCCAGTCCAGCTCTCTGCTGTGGCCAGGGAGTGCAGTGGAGGATGGCCTAAGTGCTTGGGCCCTGCACCTCATGGGAGACCAGGATAAGTACTTGGCTCCTGGCTTCGGATTAGCGTGGTGCACCGGCCGCGGCAGCCATTGGAGGGTGAACCAACGGCAAAAGGAAGACCTTTCTCTCTGTCTCTCTCTATCTCAGTGTCCACTCTGCCTGTAAAAAACAAACAAACAAACAAACCAGTAAGATAGTGGTGCAGTGGGTAAGCCCACTGTTGCGGTGCCAGCATCCCATATGGTTCAAGCCCAGCTCCCTGCTAATGCGGCTGGGAAAGCAAAGGAAGATGACCTGAGTGCTTGGGCCCCTGCCACCCACTTGGGAGACCTGGGTGGAGTTCCAGGCTCCTGGCTTCTGGGGCCATTTTAGGGGAGTGAACCAGCAGAGGGAAGATCTCTCTGTCACCCTGCCTTTGAGACAAATCTTTTTATTTTAAGATTTATTTATTTATTTGAAAGAGTTACACAGAGAGAGAAAGAAAGACAGAGAGAGAGAGGTCTTCCATCCGCTCGTTCACTCCTCAGTTGGTCACAACGGCCGGAGCTGTGCCAGTCTGAAGCCAGGATCCAGGAGTTTCTTCTGGGTCTCCCACGCGGGTGCAGGGGCCCAAGGACTTCAGCCGTCTTTTACTGCTTTCCCAGGCTATAGCAGAGAGCTGGATCAGAAGTGGAGCAGCCGGGATCGAACCAGCTCCCATATGGGATGCCGGCACTGCAGGCGGTGGCTTTACCCACTATGCCACAGCATCGGCCCTAAGATAAATCTTAAAAACACATAAATAAACAACAATAAAATGGTAATTTAGCACACTGGTGCTCCCTTAGCACATTTAATAACGAGATCTGGTGTGGGTCTAATAATTAAAGACATGGAAGTTGTGACAAGCATAGCAAGAGCCCGAGGTATGTAACGGTGATCATACACTATGGAAATTAGTGATTTCTGTTTCTATTAGGGGCAAAGTGATTTCTGTTAGTGACAAAGTCATGGATCCTACCAAGGCCAATGTTTCCAATCGTTTTTGTGAAGAAAATGCTAAGTTCTGGTTAGAGGTTGGTGAAAGTAAAATATATTAATTCCTTTTTCTATCCAATTTCACAGACCACCCTGAATTTTATGTGCAGATGCCTGTGGAACCTGGGGCCCCCAGATTAAGCCCCTCTGCTCACCCAGCTCTCGTAGACAAAACGGAACCTGGTCAGCTTTGCTGGCTGAAGATCTAGCAGTCACTCTGCCACAGTCCATTCAGGCTGCTGTCACCAAGTGCAGAAGACTGGGTGGCTCATTTGTCACAGTTGAGGGGGCTGGGATGTTCAAGGTCAAGGCGCCAGCAGGTTCAGCCTCTCCTGACGGCCGGCCTTCTCACGAGTGCGCCCCTTCCCCATATCCTTGTGTGGTGCGAACAGCAAAGGCGCTCCCTGGGGCCTGTTCATAAGGCGCTGATTCTCATGACTTCTGCACCTCCCATGACCGTCACCCACGGGTCAGAAAGTCAATGTCCAGCATGTGGGGGACGCAGATGTCCAGACCACAGCACCATCCTACTCAGCGCTCACAAGGGAGAGCAGAGAGGCTGAGGTTGAGCCCCGGTGAAGCACTTCCTGGTCTCAAGCGAAAAGTTTGCCTCCTTGAAGATGACAAAACCAGAGCCCGTGTCTCCAGTGGGCCTGGCCTCAATCGGAAAGGAGCTCTTCCTGGGTCTCTTCCTTTGGGAGTGAGGGAAAACGGGGTGTGGGGGAGGGGAGAGATACAGAGTATGACTTCGAGAGGCAGCTGCAGAGTCTAGAATTCTGTGCCAGGCTCTTCTGGGTACTTTTGGCCAGTCTGCCTCCATTTCCTCAACTGTCACGTGGGAGTTACGTAGTGATTATGATCAGAGAGGTCAGGAAGAGGTTGAGTAAGACCACGTACGTGACAATATTTGACAAAGAGCGAAGCAGTGTTTCTCAAACTCAGTACATAGTGCCCCTCAGGTCTTGCTGAAAGTGTGTTCTGGGGCCAGCATTGTGGCAACCCTGGCAACATCCCAAATCAAGTCCTGGCCACTCTGCTTCTGATCCAGCTCCCTGCTAATGCGCCTAGAAAGGCAGCAGAAGATGGCCCAAGTGCTTGGGTCCCGCCACTCACATGGGAGATCAGGATGGAGTTCCTGGCTTCAGCCTGGCCTGATCTGACTGTGTTGGCCGTCTGGAGGGTAAGCAACAAATGGAAGATCTCTCTCTCTGTCACTCTGCCTTTCACATAACTAAATAAGTAAATCTTAAACAATTTAGTCCTTTCAGAAAAAATAAAGTAAAAAGTAGGTTCTGAACCAGTAGGTCTGGGTCAGGCCCAAAGATTCTGCATTTCTGGCCGGCGCCACAGCTCACTAGGCTAATCCTCTGCCTGAAGCACCGGCACCCCGGGTTCTAGTCCCAGTTGGGGTGCCGGATTCTGTCCCGGTTGCTCCTCTTCCAGTCCAGCTCTCTGCTGTGGCCCGGGAAGGCAGTGGAGGATGGCCCAAGTGCTTGGGCCCTGCACCTGCATGGGAGACCAGGAGGAAGCACCTGGCTCCTGGCTTCGGATCAGCGCAGTGCACCGGCTGTAGCAGCCATTTGGGGGGTGAACCAACGGAAGGAAGACCTTTCTCTCTGTCTCTTTCTCTCTCACTAACTCTGCCTGTCAAAAAAAAAAAAAAAAAAAAAAAATCTGCATTTCTACCACCGAGCATCCCTGGTGACACCTGAGTGGCTACTCTGAGGCCCACACTCTGAGTAGCAAGGGGCCAAGCACTCTACCAGTGTTCATTGTTGCTACTTATTGCTGCTTGTGTATTCTACCCCACAGCATGACCCAAGGAGAATGACAGTTGGTGAGGAGGGAGCCACAGCTTATGAGATGGGGCCAGGCTTTGCTCAGCAAGACACTGGATCTCACAGCCAAGTCAAATAATCCTTCCGATCAACTCAGTGTGGACTAACCAGGCATGGGGGCTGGGAGCAAACTGCATGGAATATTTGTGCAAACAAACAACGTATGGCCAGCAAACCCCTTGCACTGGTAGCGCTGTCTCAGTCTTTGCGTGTGCCGGCTTTGGGTTTCTGAGTCACCACATCCCTTCCTGGCAGTTCGGAAGATCCCCTTTCCCCTGGATCTCCCGAGGTGAAGATGGTTCCCTGTGACGGCTGCATCTACTCTACGCTGCTAAGAACAGCCCAGAACAGTGCAGCCGAAGACGTGTGAGATGCCACTCGGAAGCTGCTGGAGGGAGTGTCGGCTGGTTCCACATCTCACCAAAGCCATCTGGCAGTTGAGACAAAGCATGCACGTGCCCTTTGACCAGTGATAAATTCTGGAATATATATTCCCAGGACATTCTCCCACAGGTCCATAAGGAGGCACATCACGGGACTGCTGGGGTAGCTGTGGGAGGCAGCCTGAATTGTTAACACTAGAGAAAAGGACTACTAAAAAAAAAAAAAAAAAGCAGATGTGCATCAGTTAATACTAAGTAGCAGTGGAAAACAACCAACCAGATGTACACAGCAACATAGATGGAGCTTAAAAACCCAGCATTAGGGGAAAACCAGAGGAAACACAACAGGATTTATAGCAGGTTAGCATTTCTGTAAAGACACATTATGTTGTACACCTTTTGCGAGAAGGTACTGTTGGCTGACACAAGGGCTCCATTTGCTTGGAGTGTTGCCAAAAAAACAGCCTCAAGTGGGAGTCGCTGAGAGAGAAGCTTTGTTTACTTGTGACAAGAAAAAGAAACAGTGGAGAAGTATAGGTCCCTACAGAAACTGCCTCTCTGAGCAGTTTGCTAGAGTTTTTCTAACAAGGGTTTGGGGCGTGTCCAGGATACAGACAAGGGGGAGCAGTCGCCTCCTTCCTGTTTGCATTCTATACATGCCTGGAGTGTGACAAACTTGGGATACCTATTCTCAGGACACTCCCCCACAGGTCCGTGGGACATTCGTCAGGGGATTGCTTAGGGTCACTGCTGGAGGCAGCCTAAGTTGTCTGTTCAAAATTGTGACTCAAGGGGCCAGCATTGGGGTGCACTGGGTAAAGTAGCTGCTGCGACACCAGCATCCCATTTGAGCACTGGTTTGAGTCCTGGCTGCTCCACTTCCACGGCAGCTCCCTACTGATAAGTGCATGGGCCCCTGCACCCACTTGGGGGGCCCGGATGAAGTTCCAGGCTCCTGGCTTTGGCCTGGTCCAGCCCTGGCTGTTGTGGCCATTTGGGGAGTGAACCAGCAGATGGAAGATCTCTCTCTCTCTGTCCCTGTCTGTCTCTCTCTAACTCTGCCTTTCAGATAAATTTTTTTTTTTTTTTTTTTTTTTTGGACAGGCAGAGTGGACAGTGAGAGAGAGACAGAGAGAAAGGTCTTCCTTTGCCGTTGGTTCATCCTCCAATGGCCGCCGCGGCCGGCGCACCGCGCTGATCTGATGGCAGGAGCCAGGTGCTTCTCCTGGTCTCCCATGGGGTGCAGGGCCCAAGCAGTTGGGCCATTCTCCACTGCACTCCCGGGCCACAGCAGAGAGCTGGCCTGGAAGAGGGGCCACTGGGACAGAATCTGGCGCCCCGACCGGGACTAGAACCCGGTGTGCCGGCGCCGCAGGCGGAGGATTAGCCTATTGAGCCAGGGCGCTGGATCTGATACATTTTTAAAATACTTTTTAAGCAGCTGTGCCTCGGGCTGGTTTGTGGCAGCATTGGTGATTCCTCATTTGTGGGCCCCTCTGAGTCCAACACTGCAAGATAAGCATTCCTGGAGCAGCCTCCAACAAACAAGCTCTGGTCAGTCAGCTAAGGTCTTGGCCCTGTCCCTGTGGCCCTCCCTCCCCCACACATCCTGCATCCTTGTCGCAGCAGTCCTATCTAAAGACCTGTTAGACTTTTCAGACCGGGTGCTGTGGGGGCGAAAGGAATACAGCTGGGACTTGGAGGTTAAAACAAAAAGTAAAATGAAAGAACTTAGCATGAATTCATTATGAAGTGCTTAACAACTGTGTTCTTAAGTCAATATTGTTCACCTGAGGTTAGAAAGGAGGGTGAACCAACGGCAAAGGAAGACCTTTCTCTCTGTCTCTCTCTCTCACTGTCCACTCTGCCTGTCAAAAGAAAAAAAAAAAAAAAAAGAAAGAAAGATGCCTGTGTGAAGCTCACACCTCACGCCCTCCAGGGAGCCCTCCCCCTTGACAGCTGTTTGGAGCCCTGGTGGCCCAGGCCTATCTGACCTACTCAGCGTTCACTAGGTCTCAGGTCTCCTCCCTACTGCTCCAACGCCCCATTGCTTTTTCCTGGCTTCTTGCTACTTTCTTACATTTGCCTTGGGGGGCCCCCCAGCAGACAAGGCTGAGCCGGGAGGTGAACCCTCCCGGCTAATATCCTAACATATCCTAATATGTTAAATCAGGGTTTGTTTTCCCCAGCTGTGGGACACCATTGCTCTGCTAAAAAAAAAACCTCTGGACAGCGCTTAACTGGGCTTTTCCTCTCCTCTAGCACACACACAGGACATGGGCATCTAGGATTCACCATGTTTATGGTCAGCTCATGGAGGGTCCCAGCCTGCCTTGCGTGTGCCCAGCTGTCCAGAATTACTCACAGAAGAGGCCCAGCTCTCATCACGTTTGAGCAATGAACCTCGTCCTTCGGCCCCTAAACCAAGAGGCTCCTTTAACCGGCTTACAAGTCTGCATCACAACTTTAACTGGTAGGAATTTGAAAATGCTTTGTATGATGGTCCTAGAATATGGCACAAAATTAATATATAATAAAGGGGGAGAGTTGTTCAAATTCTCACATCCTGCAGCATCAAGTGCCATGCATGTTTCTTTCCCCGCCCTTCCGACACCGTGGAGTGTGTGCTCCAGAGAGGAACCGAGGGAATCTGGATACCGTAAACTCTTGGATCCCCATGGTTTGGGCCAGAAAGCAGAATCACACTCTGTGGGCGATGCCCAGGCAGGAAGCTGAGTATGCGAGATGCTGGGGGTGCGGGCTTCCAAATCGCAACTCCCGTCTGCGCAGGTCTGGCGTGTGAGTCCTGCTTGGCTGTTTAGGGTGAAGCCGGTGCTGCTTCGGCTTTGGGAGTAATGGCGACAGGCAGCAGTAGCCTCATGAAAGTCATCAAGTCACCAGGACCTGCGCTTTGGAATGCAGAAGGACGGCCTAGCTCAGGTTACAAGTGGGCCTTCGGTCAGGTCTGGATGGGCGCGCTGTCCAGGAGGCTGAGGCGGGGCCGCCTGACCCAGGGTTGGCTGTGTGTCAGCAGGAGCCAGAGCGTTCCCGGAGGGGTCTCCCAGCCTTTTTACTTAGATGGATTCAAAGCCAGGTTTAAGTAGGGCTTCAGGTCTGAAACAGGCTTTTCTCATATTGATTACTTACGGGGGGGGGGGGGGGAGGCTAATTGTATCTATTTTTAGTTTATTTTTTATTTTATTTGAGAGCCAGAAAGAGAGCGAGATGGAGATCTTCAATCTGCTAGTTCACTCCCCAAATGCCAGCGACAGCCAGAGCTGGCGGAGACCCCAGGACTTGAGCCATCACCTCCTGCCTCCCAGAGCTGGCGGAGACCCCAGGACTTGAGCCATCACCTCTTGCCTCCCAGGGTGCTCATTAGTGGGCAGCCGGGTTGGAAGCGGAGTAGCTGGAACGGAACTTCCACATGGGATGTGGGCATCCCAAGTGGCAGCTGACCCACTGCTCCACACGCTGGCCCTGGAAGGTCAGTTTGCAAATTTTGCTTTTTCATCACTGCCCTTCTAGAACCAGGGTCTGACCCTCGTTTTTACATGTCCAGCGAAGTGGAGAGAAAAGGGAGAGCCAGCAGGTGGTGGAACGAGTTTTTGCAGGGCCTGGTGACAACGTGCTATCGGCACAGCCACAGCCGCAGGCCTTGTCCAGCTCCGCGGTGTGCGGGCGATTGCTTCTGCTGCTGGCTGTCCCGCTGTCCGGGGTGGAGCCTCAGCCAGGAGCACTTGCAGGAGATCAGAGGTGAGATTTGGGTGTCTGTCTGCTGCCGCAGGGGGCGGCACAGTGGGGGCAGTGTGGGTTCCCTCCCTGGCGCATCCAGCTTGGAAGCCCAACTTCTGTCCAGCTGTCAGTGGGCCTGCTGCTCCAGCTACTGGGGGCCCAGTCCTCCCACCTGCCTTTGCCGGCTGTCCACAGTCTGAGTTCACATAGTTCCCGCCTTTTTGGGCATCTGGCCTTTAACAGTTGTTGGGATATGGCAATACTAGAGAAGAAAGAGGATTAATTGGAAGGAAAAGGTAGGATAGGAGGGAGGGCTACTATAGAAGGTAATATAGTTCCTTTCTTTGAAAAAAGATTTATTTTATTTATTTGAAAGAGTTGCAGAGAGAGATAGAGACAGAAAGAGAGAGGTCTTCCATCCACTGGTTCACTCCAGGAAGCCAGGAGTTTCTCCCAGGTTTCCCACATGGGTGCCTGGGCCCAAAGACTTGGGCCATCTTCTGCTGCTTTCGCAGGAGCATTGGCAGGGAGCTGGATCGGAAGTGGAGCAGCCAGGACTCGAACTGGCGCCCATATGGGATGCCAGCGCCGCAGGCCAGGGCTTTCACCTGCTGTGCCGCAGCGCTGGCCCCAATATAGATCCTTTTGCAAGAACAGCCTTTAGGAAAGCTCACTGTGTCTCACTTCGCTGCACGTCAGAATCATTTGAGGCTCTTTGCAAAATTGCCTGTTCAGCGCACCCAAGGCCATTTTGCTCGGCAACTCTGGGGCTGAGACCTAACCATCAGTAGTTTTTAAAGCTCCCCGGGTGATTCAGGGCGCAGCCCAGGGTGAGAAAGAACCGCTGCTCTAGCCTCAAGAGACGGAGGTGTTTGTTCCAGTCAAGCCATGAATAGTGTGGCATAGTTTTCTTACCTGTAATATGGAAAATTACCTTGAAAACGTTTGACCAAAACCAGTACAATTTTGACCCCCAGGGACTATTTTCTAAAATGGCTTTCTATCTCTGAAATTCTGTTTTTTGAAGATTTATTTATTTTATATTTGAAAGAGTTACAGACAGAGAAGGAGAGACAGAAAGATCTTCAGTCCACTCCCCAAATGGCTGCAGCAGCCAGATGGAAGCCACGAGCCAGGAGCTTCTTCTAGGTCTCCCATGTAGGTGGCAAGGGCCCAAGTACTTTCCCAGGTGCATTAGCAGGGAGCTAGATCAGAAGTGGAGCAGCTGGAAATCAAACTGGCATCCAAATGAGATGCTGGCACTTAAGGCTTTACCTGCTGTGCCACAGTGCTGGCCGCTCTAGCTCTGAAAAAAAAAATTTTTTTTTTTAACAGGCAGAGTGGACAGTGAGAGAGAGACAGAGAGAAAGATCTTCCTTTTCCGTTGGTTCACCCTCCAATGGCCGCTGTGGCCAGCGCTGCACCGATCCGAAGCCAGGAGCCAGGTGCCTCTCCTGGTCTCCCTGGGAGGCAGCAGGTGATGGCTCAAATACTTGGGTTCCTGCCACCCATATGGGAGACTTGGATGGAGTTCCTGGCCTCAGCCTGGCCCAGCCCCAGCCGTTGCCAGCACTTGGGGAGTGAACCAGCGGATGAACTCTCTCTCTCTGCTTTGCCTTTCAAATAAATAAAAGTAAAAAGTCCAAGGAAAAATGGAGTTACTAAATAAGTAATTGTAAAGAGGAGAAAGTCAACTTGAGGTTTGAATTCTGGTTTCTTGAAGTTTTTGCCTTGAGAGTTGTTTCTAATTTGACCTCACCCAACAAATCCTCCCAGCAAAGCCTGGGGGAAGGACCTGGGTGGTTTTCTGGGGCTTTCTCTAATAATAAGGAATGTCTTCTGTGTTCATTTCATAAGCCTTTTAAAGGAAAGGACAGTGAGGCCGTTTGCCTCTGTCTCATTGTTAGCTAACTTGTCCAGAAGAATCACTGGCCCTGGCTCACACCCTCTTCTCTTCTGAGAAAATCGGCGAATAATTGCTATCGGGGAAGAGCAGCTACTAGAGATGCATTTGAAAAGAGGACCACCATTTGGTAATGAGGGAGGAAGAAAGTTTGGAACTTCCCATTGAAAAGTGAACCGGAAAGGGATTGAAATCCACTTTCTTTAACTCAGCACATTGGGTTATTTCTGCAGCTATGCATTAATTCTCAAAGAGTGAATTGGAGGGACAGGCATTTACCCTAGCAGGTAAGATGCCCGTGCCCTACACCGGAGTACCTGGGCTCAACTTCCGGCTTCAGCTCCTGACTCCGCTTCCTGCTAAGAGGAGTGATGGCTCAAGCAAGTGGTGTGGGAAACCCAGATTGATTTCCCAGTTCCTGGCTTTGGCCTGTTCCAGTCTCAGCTGTAGTGGGCATTTGGGGGCACCGGGAGATCCAGCAGATGGGAGATACTTCTCTCTCTCTCTCTCTCTCTCTCTCTCAGCTTCTCAAATAAATAAATTTAAAAAGGACCATATTTAGTAACTTTTCTCAGTATATGTTTCCTGACAAAATCATGTATCATTATATTTTTCATTTTACTTGGATTTTTAAGCGCTATTAAGAATTAGGGCTTTTGTGTGTGTGTGTATGTCTGTTTTGCAAAGTATCAAACAATATATCAATTTTCCCAGTAGTATTTCTTTTTTTTTTTTTTAAAGATTCATCTACTTATTTGAAAGGAAGAGTGAGAGAGTGAGAGATCTTCTACCTGCTGGTTCGCTTGCCAAGCAGCTGCAACAGCCAAGTCTAAGCCAGGAGCTCCGTCCTGGCCTCCCACGTGGGTGACAGGATCGTAAGTGCTTGGGCGATCGCGTGCTGCCCTTGCCGGCAAGTTAGAGGGAGCTGGTGGGAAGCGGAGCAGCAGGACTCACAGCCCCACTCTGATGTGGGATGCCGAAGTTGCCAGCGGCAGCTCCGAAGCTTTGCTATGTACATCTTTTCTTTGGCAGGGCCCACGAGGGACCACTATTCTCAGCTCTCTGTTCTTCAGCTGTGAACTGGTCTGTTTGCTCTTTGTCGATGTCCTTGTTCCCTGATATTACCTTTGGGAACTTAATGAAATCCTATGTCTTGTGCAATGTTGCAGCTTTTCTCTGGAGGAAATTTGCATAGTATTTACATTTGGTGAATTTTTAAAATGGCCAGAGACTGACCCACAGAGACCTATTCAGCAGGGCAGTAGCACTGGCGGAGAAGTGATGTCTCTGTAGGGACCAATTTTATGAATGATTTTTTTAATCAGCAAATAGTTTCACTCTCTAGATTCCTATCTTCCAGGAACTGGATAATGCCTACTTGAGTCATTATAAATATACATATACTTATGCCATTTGTTACCTTCAAAACAGAGGCAAACTTACGCTGTAAAGGATATAATAGGGGCCAGCGCTGTGGCGTAGTAGGTAAAGCTGCTGCCTGCAGTGCCAGCACCTCATATGGGCGCTGGTTTGAGTCCTAGCTGCTCCTCTTCTGATCCAGCTCTCTGCTATGGCCTGGGAAAGCAGTGGAAGATAGCCCAACTCCTTGGACCCCTGCACCTGCGTGGGAGACCCAGAAGAAGCTCCTGGTTCCTGGCTTCAGATTGGCTCAGTTCTGGCCGTTGTGGCCATTTGGGGAGTGAACCAGTGGATGGAAGACCTCTCTCTCTGTGCCTGTGCCTCTCTGCAACTCTGCCTTTAAAATAAATACATAAACCTTAAAAAAAAAATACAGTAGTTAACTTGAATGACTGCACCTTGTATTTGAACGTGGCATTACAGCTAATGGTACTGTTTCCTGCACCTGGGTGAGTGGGTCTTTTAGCCCCCTTTTAGTGTCTGAACTCAGAAACCTACATCCCCTGTCTCTACCATGGGCCCTTTTCCCAGAATCCTATTCTGTTCTGTAGTAGCCTGAAGACTATGCCCGCAGAAAGTGACCTCTAATTTTTATGGATCATCATTGTCCCCATCACCATGGCGTCTAAGGCTCTGCTCCCAGCCCACGACTCTGCCTACAGCAGCTCCGTGACTGACGTGTGTGAGATCCCAGGTCCCAGGTCCATGTGGTGAATGAGTGATGTGCGTGCCCCATGCTGTTGGCCGCTTGTGGGCATAGCAACAGGCCTGCACCCATACATACAGGGCCCTTCTGCTCAGTCCAGGCCGGAGAAGCAGCTCCTTGGCTTGGGACAGGCAGATCAGTGCAAGTGCAGCTCTCCAGCCCAAGCACTGGGACCTCTGGCAGGGGCTCAAACCCCGCACAGCCTGGCCCCACAGCCCCCTGCGTCCCCACTTCCAGTGCTCAGATGCCCATCACCTCCCGAGGCATCTTGCTCTATTTTAAGTAATTTTAATTCTGTGAAACTTTATCCTTGTGCCGGGAGGAAACCTTCTTCTGTGTAGCCTCCACGCATCGGTGTCCGTCCCGCTGTTGTGGGGC